TCGGCGGCAATGGGGGGGGGGCAGGGAGGGGGGAAGGGGGGGGTGGGGGGGGAATCAAAGTTGTTTACAAATTCCCTAAGGCATTTATTCTTCCAAAACAGTAAATAAGCAGTAATAACCATCTCAATGAATATAAATTGCTGAAAGCATTATAAAATGCCAAAACTTCTATCTCAAGACTATAATATTTAAGTTCAAGATAGACAATGGTTGTACCAGTGGGAAATTAATAAGGAAAAAAATTATTCTGCCTCAAGAAGATAGCTGTGATGGAGAAAGGAAAGATGGAGACTATTCACTCATACCACAAATATTTATTTAGCATTTACCATATACATATACAAATATTTATTGAGCATGCACCAGACCTTGTTCTAAGTTCCAGGGATAGAATAGTGAGTAAGAAAGACTCTTGTTCTCCTTTAGAAGCTAACATTAAGGAGAAGTCCTACAGAAAAAAATACCTTTATCAATATGTTAGAATCAAACATTCAAAGTCACTCAATAGTAATAGAAGTTAATAGCTGTTCATTTAATGAATAACTAAGTGACTACCATGAGTCAAATACAGTGCCAATGACAGAAGCACATCAAAGTTCTTGTCCAGGGCACCTGAGTGGCTCAGTCAGTTGAGCATTCAACTCTGTTTTGGCTGGTCATAATTCCAGGTCTTGAGATGGCCCTACCTTGGGCTGTGGAGCCTGCTTAATATTCTCTCCACCCCCTCTTCCACTCTCCCCCCAGCTCATGTTTGCTGTCACTTTTTTTTTTTTTTTTTGAGGATTTTATTTATTCATTTGTCAGAGAGAGAGGGAGAGAGAGCAGAAGCAGGGAGAGTGGCAGGCAGAGGGAGAAGCAGACTCCCCACTGAGCGGGGAGCCCCAACGATGAAAACATGGGGCTTGATCCCAGGGTCCTGGGACAAGAGTTTCCTAAGTCTGTCCTAAGACAGACGCTTAACCAGCTGAGCCACCCAGCACCCTTGTCGCTCTCAAAAAAAAAAAAAAAAAGATATACAATCTGTAATCCATGTGATTTCTTAAAAGGAAGCTTCAAGGTAAACATTTTAAATGAAAAATAGTAGAAGTGCTTACTTTTGTTTCAGTAATAAATAAGTACTTAATAGTTTACAAGTTTGATAGGTTTTTAGTTTTCATGTTATCAAGTTGGCCTATAACTGAAATGTATATATAGCAAATTTTCTTGTATTTTACACTATCCTACTAACACAAGGAGTTACACTTTTGGGGAAAGTACTGAAAACTAAAGGTTATCATTTCATACAAACTGGGTTTTTTTTTCAAAATGCTTTAAAAACTGATAATATACTCTTCCTAACGTTAAAGCTTCTTCTCTGCTTTTCCATGAGAATCAGATTTGCTAAAGCAAAATCTGACCATGACCTCTGACTATTACACTATTAATTGTAAGACACTATTTTATTCAAGGTACTACCCAAGTACTTTTATCTACATTTTTATCTTTTTAATCTCCTAAATTGGTTAATGCACATGAATTCTTAGTCCCTAAGGGAAAGTTTACCTAAGAGTTATTTAACAGCTACAACTGCAGATGCTGTATTTCAAAAACTTCAAAATAAATTGCATCTTAAAAAAAATGATGAGAAAAATCTTTTCTTCAACTCCTTGACATTTTATTTTCTACTATTTTCAGTAAGATTGCCAAAATGTCCCACTCTTGGGTCATTTATTTTTTCCTAACGCTTACCCTTTGTCAGCCTTCCATCATTTTCAGTACTTCCGAGCTCCCCCCAAATTATTATTATCAGTTCTCTTAACTTCTAACTCATCACTCATAATTACCTGGACCAATGATTCCAACAGAAGCAGAATAAGCCCTTAGGGACATTTTGAAAATTTGTGAGGACCTTTTGGTTGCAATAATAATTTGGATAGGAGGGCAAGTATTTGGTGGATGGGGGACTATTCATCCTAGAAGTTATAAAATGTATGAAACAACCTTTACAACAAAGAACTACCTGCATCCCTCAGGGTTTTAAAAGATTCTACTGTACACTGAAGTAGGTAAAAGCTTATTTGTTATCATCTTAGTCTAGAAGTTTATGTAATACAGTATATATAAAATGTATCATTTCACACTGTTTTAAAAAGACTAAATTTTTCTTAAGTACAAATCTTATGTAAATTGAGGGAAGATTCCACTTTATCTAATTTAAAATTCTACCAAAAATTGTTAACAATTTGGGAAAAATCAGTTTGCCAATGACAATGGCCCTTGTGGTATCTGAAACGCCAGTATAATACATTGGAAAAGTGGTCTGTATTTGTAGCTGTTACACTCACAGTGGTTCTTTGCACTGGTGCAATATGCCAGCAACTGATTACTTCATTATGTCTCCTAATGTAATCATGTCTGACCATTTACATGCTTAAATAGTAAACATGTTTTTTTCTAATAAAATACTTCACCTTTATGTCTCAATTAGAGCATTACACTGATTTTTAAGTTATTTTATGAACAGATTTCATTGCCTGTCAGTATCATTTTAGGATATTACAGGAGACTTTGAAGAATACTGGTTATAAAAAAAGGGGCACTACGTTGGACAGGAATCACTAGAATCACTGGCCTACATCTTAGCCTTCATGTGACTGGACTACTAAAGATGTCTCCTAACTGATATCTTAAATTCTACACATATCTTCTTCCAAATGAAGTACCTACAGATGTAAAAGATCACCAACATTACTTCTATCTTCAAAATACCACGGAAGCTCCCAGCTGCCTTGCAAATCAGTCCAGTATAGAGATTTTTACAACTCTCCATAAAGAGATTCCTTCTACCTAACCTAATAATTTATCCAGTCTACATCACAGATTGAACACTCCACTCAGAAAGCCTTATTTCTAAGAAGTCAGCAAATGGAAATGGTATATAGGATTTGGAATTCTAGGTCTGTCTCTTATTAGGAGAATGATTCTGGGTAGGTTACTTACCACTTTAAGTCTCTCTCTTTCTTTTTGTAAGATTTTATTTATTTATTTGAGAGAGAGAGAGAAAGCAGGAGTAGGGAGGAGAAAGAGAAGCAGCCCTACACTGGACTGGGTCCCAGGACCCTGGGATGGTGACCTGAGTGGAAGGCGGACTTTTAACCTGAGCCACCCAAGCATCCCTGAGTCTCCTCATCTCTTAAGTGAGGTGGGTATTAAGGAGGGCACATATTGCATGGAACACTGGGTATAATGCATAAACAATGAATCTTGGGACACTGAAAAAACTAAATTAAAAAAAGAGAGAGAGAATTAAAAAGGACTTGCCTCACAAGGTTGTGGTAAAGAAGGAATCAGATAAGCAGAAGCTTAGAGCCTGCTACTTCAAACTTTTATCTGTTTTGTTTTTTTTTAAAAGATTTTATTTATTTATTTATTTATTTGACAGAGAGAGATCACAAGTAGGCAGAGAGGCAGGCGGAGAGAGGGGGAAGCAGGCTCCCTGCTGAGCAGAGAGCCTGATGCAGGGCTCGATCCCAGGACACTGGGATCGTGACCTGAGTTGAAGGCAGAGGCTTTAACCTACTGAGCCACCCAGGTGCCCCAATCTGTTTTGTTTTCTTATCTATTCCAAGGTCTTAGGAAAATACGGGGCACCTAGCAGTATTCAAGAAATGTCTGTTGAATGAAAGCATATTGCTTTCGGAAACCTTCCCATGTAAGCCCATCTGACGGCTGCAGAAATCTACCCATTAATCAAGTAATGATAACTGAGTGCTCATAAATTGGGTGCTTCCTTGAAGTAAATCCGCAGTTCCCGCTCTTAGGAAACTTAGAAAAATGTTGGAAAATGAGAGGTCAACATAAAAGATGTCACAATACAGTGTATGAGTGGTCAGCACTGGTATGGACAATAAGTGCTATGCATCTAAAGGCAAAGTATATAACACTGCGGGCTGGCACAGCATGGAATGACGTGTGAAAAAGAATTAAAACAGCCCTGTCTCTAGACTTTCTCCAACTAATCCATTCTTCTTATACAAAGCCTGAGAGAGCTTGGTTTAACAGCCCAATCAGTTCTCAGCTTAAAACTCATCAAAATGGTACCACTGCCCTCAGGATATCCCAACTCCTTCAGGTGCTTTACCAGATGCTTCATATGTTCTAATTCCCATTAATCTTTGGGAACTAAAATGATTAATAATGTAGCCACTAGCTACACGTGGCTGAACACCTGAAATGTGGCTAGTCCCAAGTGAGATGTGCTGTTATTATAAAACACACACTGGATTTCAAAGACTTGGTACAAAAGGGTGGGGGGGGGAGGATGTAAAATATCTCAGTAATTTTATATTGATTACATGTCAAATATTATTGTGGATACACTGGATTAAATAAAAATACACTTAAAATGAAATTCATCTCGTTTTTAGATTTCAAATATCACTACAGAAAACTTAAAGACATATATGAGGCTCTCATTATGTTTCTGTCGAACGCTTTTCCCAACTCAGCAGCTCAGCCTGAAAAAACCACCTGGCGATTTCCAACTGGGCCCTGGTCCTCTGGCCTACGACTCTGTAACTACTACTACTGGTGAGTCAAACACTTTTTCCTCTTCCTTCCGCTGATTTCACAGCCACTCGTTTTCCATAGTTCCGTTTTTAATCGTCCCTTTCTCCAGGACGCCTCCTCTGACCTCACTCCCTACCCCGCAACACTGGAGTGGGCTCTCCTCCTCTGAGAATGCCCCCTGGAGTACTTATCACACAGTAGGTGCAATTGTTTGTCTCCCCGCTCGGACCCCCGACAACACTGTGAGCTCCTGGAGGCAAGGGCGACTCTGTGCGCCGGGCACAGAGCACGACTCCGCGGGACGAAGGAGGAGGTGGGACAAAGATGTGAATACAGGGACCACCGCGGTTCGGGGGGTGAGAGGGTACAAAGGAGTGAGGCAGCGCCCTCGGGAATCCGGGGGTGCCAGCAGGCAGGCCCGCGGAGGGGCGGGAGCAGCCGGCGGGACTCACCAGTCCCTGGTCCACGTCCGTGTCCGGCCGTTTGGTCGCCGGCAGCGAGTACTCGGCGTAGCGCAGACCCTCGCCGGCAGTGGCGACGCCGCCTCGGGCAGCCATGGCAATACGACGCAGAGAGACTCGGGGCGCCGAGGCGTCGCCTACGAGACGGCCGCAGGGACAAACTAGTTAGGGCGGTTCACTCGCGGGTTTCGCTGGCGCCGCCCCTGCCTCGCGGGTGGAGGGCAGGTCACCGGGAGATCTCGTTCTCCCCCAGGCTCGGGCCACTCTGTCCCCACAAAGCCGAGGGTCAGACTCGGAGCTGAGGCCCCTGGGACGTGGAGGGGTTTTTTGTTTGTTTCTGATCCTCAGGCCCAAAGTCAACGTTGGGCCTCGTGGGCATTGTGTGGTGGAGCCTGGCTCCTCCCCAGCCCTCTTCCCAACAAAGGACCAGGATTTAAACCCTATGGTCAGATTTTGGTCTCATCAAAGGGCTATCAAGGGAAGACCCGGAGACTCCAACTGCAGTTCTTGAAGGTCCCTGACTCACACAAGACCGTCCTTCCCACCCCAGCTACTGATCATACTTCTCTTTAATGCCGCAATCTCCCACCCATGAAAGCGATAGAAGTGGCAATTTGCTTATTCTATATCCCTTCTCTCCACACAAATGGCTATATTTAAGATGAAACAAAGAAGAAACTTACAAGCAAGTAAGTAAACCTCACTCCCCACAAATGGTTTTGTGCTGACTTGGACATAGAAAGACCCATTTTTAAATTAATTTTTAAATAAAACATTTTGGAGCAAAACTTAACCAACAAATGAAGCTGCTGAAGTGTTTTCCAACTCCTGAGCCAACAAGGCAGTGCTTTTGCCCTTTGTATCCATTGTAAGAGATGTGAGTTCTACTGTATGTTCTATAATTTTCTAGGCTTGTGTCCCTGAAATACCCATTTATCTCTCCAAATCTCCTTATCTGTGGAAGGGGAATACTATTTGTCTAACATAATGACTCAGAAAGTTACAAGGATAAAATGAACAAAAGGGGAGGGGAGAGGAGGATATGGAAGCAATTTGTACAATGTGCTTACCATACGTTTACACAGTTACCACCACCAGACTATTGGCATTTATGGGAGGGAATGTTCACTCTTAACCAGCTTTCAGAGAAGGGTCAGTGGAGGCTTAGCTGCTGAGATGGTCAGTAAAGAATGGGTGAGACATTTTTAGATGGAAGAGGAGGAAGGCTGAAAATTTCAGCTGGAAACAAATGCAAAGAAATGACAAAGGAGGGATGTAAAACTAGACTTAAAAAGAAAAAAATCATGCCAAGACTCTTCAATACATGATCTTGAGTAAGGAACAGGCAGGGCTAGAAATGGAGAGATAGATAAGGGGCTCTGGGACCAGACTCAGAGAAATCCCAAAAATGTGGAGGTGTGAGGAAACCAGAAATAAGGGAACATACCACACCGCCCTGCCCTAGGTGTCCAAAGGGAAATCTGATTTTTGACAGTCTCCTGTGGTCAAGAGAAAATAAGCAAACCCTAAAAAGAAGTAAGCTATTGAAGATGTTATCACTAGTCCTTAATCAATGGTGCTCCCGGTAGAGAAGTCAAAAAGATTTAAGTTCCCTGGTTAACTTTTTACAAAAGACCAACCCTAAAAGCCCTCAATGGCAACCCTAATGGGACCCCTCTCCTGAGACTTTTTCTGTATCCTCATTCAATAAAACTCTACAGGTTTACTCACTCTCCTTTGTCCATGAGATTCATTCTTCGACTCCATGAGACAAGAACCCAGCTCTCTCACTTCAATCTTATTATAAAAATTAATTTTCATTAGACTGATCCACAACTATCAAGGATGCTGATGAATTAAGCAAATGAATTAGGTCGGGCTCACAGGTCATTCATTCATTCATTCATTCATCCATTTATTAGTTTGGTAAGTATTTATTTAGCATCTCTTAGGTCTTGCACACTAAACTATGCATTGGGCCTACAGGGTCAAGTAAGTAAGATTATTGATTCTTTGCATTCCACACTATGGGAGGGTTCTAGTGTGCCCTAGCAGCTGGGTCCTCACAGTCACCTGCTACCAGCCTAGAGCAAACAAGCAGTTAGAGCAAGACCCAAGTCAGCCCCAGCTCCTCTTAGGGAAGCTGCTGCCCCTGGAAACTAGAAGGAAGTTTCCATAGCACAAGTCAGGAAAAGAGAGAAAGGAGAATGGGGCAGGGGAGAGAATGGTAACATTCTGGGGAGGTGGGCTCAGCAGGATTGTGCCTCAGCTCAAAACCCAACCTAGTGAAAGCAGATTGCTGGCTTGCCCCAGCTCTACTGCTGACTAGCGCATGGAGCATCTGCTCCTACAGCAGGAGTCAGTTTTAAAGAAAATGTTCCATAAAGACTATCAGTTTTCAGCTTTTGGTTCTTTGCTAAGGTCACCCTCCCCTCCTAATAAAGGTTGGAAACAAGAGCAATTAAGTCTTGCCTCTCATCACACAGAGCTCATCCTGATTTAGCTAAACTCACTCCTTTGGTTTCCCTGAGAATGAAGAGGAACGCTTTAGTGAAATCATAAGGGAAGCCACATTAAATTTTCATCAGCTTATTTTTATTAGTTACACCATTTTAGAAACAGGTTACATTATGTTCAATAGATTTTGTGAAAGAAAGGCAGATGTTGGTAATATATCTTAGAAACATCACAGTAAAAGAGGTTTTAAACATCTGTTGTTTAAAAAGACTTTTGGCAAAAAGAAAAAAAAAATTTTTTTTTGGCCTCTATGTGCCTCAGTCTCCTTATCAGGAAAATGGTGGGTAATAATGTAGCCCTGGTTGTGAAGAATAAACAAGTTGACTTTTGTAAAGCTCTTAAAACAGTGCTGTATACCTTATAAATTCTCTGATAGTGTTAGTTACTATTTTCTGTATATTACTTATTTCACTTATGTGTTTCCTGTATATATATATATATATATATATGTATGTATATATATATATATTTTTTTTTTAAGATTTTATTTATTTATTTTATTTGTTAGAGAGAGAGAGCACGAGAGAGAGAGAGCACAAGAGAGTACAGCAGAGGGAGAGGGAGAAGGAGAAGCAGGCACCCTGCCGAACAAGGAGCCAGATGCGGGTCTTGATCCCAGGAGCTTGGGATCATGACCTGAGCCGAAGGCAGCTGCTTAACCAATGGAGCCACCCAGGCATCCCCCGTATATTTTCTTATTGCTGCCCCCTGCCAACAGTGGTGTTGGCTCCTCAAGTGGTTGTCTTATCTTTGAAATGATAAAATGTGATTAGACATTATTTAGTGATAAAGTGTAATTGTGGGGGAGAGAAGTTATTTTTATGAAAACTAAATTAAAAGCTTTGGAAAGACTTAATAACAGCAAGTTTTATACACACACACACACACACACACAGAGTGTAAGAAGCTGTCAAGTGGTAGGCATGGGAATAAAATAACAATTGAGTCATTATATTCAGTTTGTTTTTAAAGTGTTTTGTTCCCCTCCAATTGAAACAAACTGAAATTAGGCATCATATAAGATAGATTATCTATGTGGAAAAAATCTGAAGCAGAGGACCCACATCCAAATGAAAGGCCTTGATCCTGTAGACATACACAGAGTGCATGAATAGATATAGTGTGTGTTTGTTGTGGTATTAAAAATCACAGGGAGAGGGAGGAAGGATGCTACTAGAAAAAGTCTAAAAGAGCTCCATAGTAATGGTTGCTTGGCTGGCTCATTTGGTAGAGCATATGACTCTTGATCTCAGGGTTGTGAGTTCAAGCCTCACATTGGGTATAGATCTTGCTTAATAAATAAACAAACAAACAAGCAAACAAACAAACAAACAACACTCCTTACTAAGAAATAGTGATTTGTATGTGATGCTTAAAAAAATAATGTTTAGGGGCACCTGGATGGCTCAGTTGGTTAAACATCTGATTCTTGGTTTCTGCTCAGGTCATGATCTCAGTCATAGGACTAAGCCCTACATTGGGCTCTCAGTGCAGATCCTGCTTCAGATTTTTTCTCCCTCCCCCTCTGCCCATCCCTTCTCTCTCTCTCTCTCAATTAACTAAATAAATAAAATCTTAAAAATATAATGTTTAGGGGCGCCTGGGAGGCTCAGTCATTAAGCATCTGCATTCAGCTCAGATCATGATCCCAGCATCCTGGGATCAAGCCCTGCATCAGGCTCCCTGCTCAGCACGGGGCCTGCTTCTCCCTCTCCCACTCTCCCTGCTTGTGTTCCCTCTCTTGCTGTATCTCTCTCTGTCAAATAAATAAATAAAATCTTAAAAAAAATTATAAAAAATATATATATAATGTTTAAAGTATGTGTCATTATTGTTATAATCCCCAATTTAATTAGTTTTTCAGTTAACCCATCAACCACTATGCCAGTATGATCAGAAAAGAGGGCTCTGCTGTGTGGCAAGTGCAGTGGGCATAAAAAAGGATGGGTCTGAAAAGAAAGGAAAAGAGAGAAGATAGCATTCAAGCTGACTGTGGAAGGATGAATACAGATTGGCTGGGTTGATAAGACTGAGGCAGGCTTAGGGGAACTAGGTATGAGAAAGCACTGCATATGAACAGTACTACAAATAATTCAGTTTTGCTAATGTTTAAAGTATAGAGAAGAGAATATAGGTAGATGAGAGTGGACAGATAACCAGAAAAGGGCCGGATATTAAAGAGCTTTACTTAATAAGAAAAGGCATTTGGAATTGATCTTATAGGTAAAGCCAAGATATCAAAAAAAATGTTGAATGTAGCAGTGAAATGATCAGATCTGCATGCTAGGATCATTCTGCTAGTAATGTGGGCTTGATGGGCCAAAACTAAAGGAGGAAAACCAGCAAGAAAGTTATTTCAGTAGTCTGAGTAAGAAATGTTGGGTGCTAAACTAGGACAGTGGCAGGGACATGGCAAGGAGGAGTGTAGTTACCTTTATTGATTTCCTCCCCACATTCAATTCCTCATAGCCCTACCCAAAGAGGACCCAAGGATTAACTCTGCTTCCTACTCTCAGGACGGGCTCTGCTTAAGCTAAGCCAACCAAGGTATCTCATCATTCTAACCATGGTGATTCGTTTCATGGATGGGCACATAGCCTTCTTGGACATTGGGGTTACAGAAAATT